ACGTAACTCATACAAAAATGGTTTATAGCAAGTCAGTTTTAAAGCACAGATGTATTAAAATATTATATAAAGATAAACGAACAGAATGTTGAAATACACAATGAAAATAATACAAAGATGAAACAAACATAACATTACAAGATAGAATTCTCGATCGTATCACAAGTACATAAAATTCATGAAATTGAAGTTTGATTAAATTCATCAACCGAATGAAAACAATATCTGAGAAGGTGTTTCTTCACAGTAGTTTTGAAACATATTTCATCCATAGATTTAACCTAATTCGGTAGTTTATTGTAAAGCTCAAAGTTCAACGAATTTTTTTCAGTTTTGACTAATCTATAGCGAGGCACGTACAAGTAAATCATTTGCATCAGCAGACCGTGTGTTGTGATGATGAAGGCTAGAAACTTTTGGAATGCTCAGCCTTCTGGAATAAATTTCTCTCAAATTTTGAAAGATGCAAATACATGGAAGAGGTAAAATTCCTAACTGCTTGAATAAAGGTTGGCAGTGCTCTCTATAACCAACCCCTGCTATTAATCTAGTTGCTCGTTTTTGTAACCTAAATTTTTCATAGTTTCAACTGAGTTACCCCATAGAACAGTGCCATAGCAGATCAAAGAGTGAAAAAGGCCAAAATATATATGTTTCAACATCGTCTGACGTAAGCATTGTTTGAGTTGTCTCAGTAGAAATAAAACACTGGATAGTCTGGTACCATAGATTGGTACTAAGGGAATCCACCTGATGTGACCAATTCAGAGAGTCATCTAATATAATTCCAAGCACTTTACAATGGTTCCCTGCCGTGACTTGACTATTGCTGGAAATCATAAGATTCTGAGTTTTTTCTCTATTCTCTATCCTCTGCTTTGTTCATTAAAGTTTCTGCATGATCCAGTAGAAGTGAGATATTAGTGTTTGAACTAATCAAGGTTGTATCATCTACAAAAAGGACGATTTGACACTTCTTCATCATATGATAGCAGAGGTCATTAATATATATGATGAAGACAGTGGCCCCAGAACGAATCCCTGATGGACTCCATGATGCACATTTCTGAGTTCAGATTTAGAGTTATATATTATACAGGTGTACATATTGTTGTTTGAAGAATTCTAATGGTGTGCCTCTTTTCTAACAGGAGTTCATTGGAAACACAGTCGAAGGCCTTAGAGAGGTCGCACATGGTCAACAATGAATGTTCATGTCCCTCCAGATCTTCGACTATGTTCTCCATAATTTGAAGCAGAGCTTGTGTTGTGGATCTTTTACTTCAAAAGCCAAATTGTGAAGAGTGCAGTATTTCAAACTTTTCGAAATAACCCAATAATCTAACTTTCAGTAGAATTTCAATAACCTTGGAGAAAAAACAATAATAGATATTGGTCGGTAATTATTAACCTCTTGAAAATTATCACTGACTATCAAATTTTATCAAAAAATGTATGCTCAGTGGCATCATAGTGCAGATGAGCTGAAGACTCTTGGAAGAAACATAATGAGTTCAGATATAGGACACCTTTTTCATCTCTTGGAGCGCACGGAAGGAAATTCCTATAGTGTTCGAAGAACATCGTGTGCACCCAGAAGGGATAGGGAAAGAGGAATTTGTTGTATTTTTTTTTTACTTTTGTAGGTTATAAGTTCTTGCAAATACTTCCATTGGCAAAGAAATCCAAAGCTTTTTGCCGTTCTATATGAGACGAACGAGTTTTGGTAAAGTTGTTGTTCGATATAGGTACTTCAAAGTTGACAACGAAAGAATTTGCTGACTGAGAAAACAATACTTCTATTAGAATTGAATAGAACATTCAAAAATGAAAAACAAAATAGGTGTTTCCATTATGAAGTTGAAAATGAACAACAAAATCGATCTTTGACGGTCGTAACTTATTTTTGGACCACCCTGTATACATAAAAAATGTATCAGCACAATAATCGGCAGGTCCCAACGTTTTTTCAAAGATCTAAATCAATTTCGATTGAATTCTGACATTATTCTCGCAAGGATGAAAATTGTTTTATTTTTATTTGTTCAAGTCTGCTGATGTTCGATGTTTTATGAATCATATGTATGCTTAATTGTAATAATTATTAATTATAGTCGATTGGAATAATAGTATCAGAGCCTTCGGAAATTGTATGATTAATTACTATCGATTCTGAAACATAAACTGAAAAAAATCAGTCGTCGAGTTATTAAAAATCATGACTAATGTAATGCAAATTGAGGAGCAGTCAATATATCAGGTATACTTTAACTTTTGGTCTGGTCATCTGTTGTATAAGTTTTCTAATGATAAGTGCAAACGAACTTTGTAACCCTGACTCGAAATCATACTATTTAAACTTATTACAAGTTAGTATGTTTGTATTCAGAGTTCAGACTGGTTTTTTCCTCCAGCCCAGGTACAGTTAAATGATTTACAAGTGTTTATATAATCTCAATGTTAATGTCATGTTAAAGACACTGATAGAATGATTTTTCTTCGATGATTTGGGATTTCGCGTGTTTCAAACTTGACAAAGTAATATTCATCATACAGGACGAGGAAAGAAATTCTGAATTGAGGAAACCTAATCACGAATCTGCGAATAAAGATCTATAAAAATAACAAGTTTCCATCGTTGAAATTTGAATTCTTGATTGGGCGAAAGTATTGAAAAGGAATATTCTCAGATAAAATTATGAACATAAAGAAATGAATATATGAAGAAATACATTGGGAATGCGCATTCTCTATGTTATGAAAATATCAATTCCGTCTCGGTTTATTAAACAGAAAACAACTACTTTTCTGGCTTTATGCCACGACGAACATTGAATTAAATCTATTGAACACAAACGATAAGAATTTGAAGACACAATCTTTTGAAGTTGAGAATTTGCATTCTCCTTTAGATATGCACATAATATCATTCTGAATGTTCAACAGAAAATAACTACTTTCCTGGGAAAAAATCAGAGAAATTGAAATAGTCGTAGTCGCAGCCGTTGGATAGAGAATCCAATTACCACGAAAAGGAATATCCTGTAATGTTCAGAGAACATCGTGAGAACCAAGGGAAATGAGGTAGGAATTGGTGTTCTTCTTCAATTTCTGGAGGTTATATTCCTCGAAGACCAGAGCCTCGCTGTTCGTTGGATGAACGAGTCTTTGAAAAGATATGTTCTGCAGGTCTTCAAAGTGACCACGAAGGGGTGCGAAGCCTCAACTCGACGGGTTAATCTCGCGAAGACTGCCAAGGGAGGAACAATTGTTGATATCTATAAAATAGAGCCAGATCGCAAACTTTTCTACGGTGTTCCAGAGAAGTAAGTGAGTTTGTCAGCGAGGCATCACCCACGAGACGAATGATTCTAATGAGATATTACTCGAAAATCGTCGGTATCAAAGTTCAGAAGTTGATGGTGACCCTATGAGCCCCAGCCCCACAAATATTAACCTACCTTTACAATTGAATAAACAGAGAAAATAAAGCAATTAAATCAAAGTGAACGTCACGAAATTTAAATCACTTCATGAAAATACACGATACAATATTTTGAAAACTTTTCTATGCCCTTCTGGGACGCATTCCATTTGTTTGTGTTTTTTTCCTATAAAATCTGGGTGTTTTTGAGAGTAAAATGATCTTGATTTTCACAAAAATCAATTTAGCCCGCGAAATAAGACTATTGAATATTTTTCTATGCTCTCCTAAAGAGTATATTCTACTCGTGTGTTTTTTATAAATTCTTTCGGACTGAGTATTTTTGTAAACAAAATCATTTTCACCAGAATCATCCTTTCCCACAGAAATATTTCAAATTTCTAGCCCCCCTCCTTCTTCCTCTGAAGTTCACTTTACTTGTGTGTTCTTCATAAAACCTTGCAAACTGGGTATTTTTGCGAGTGAATTAAAGTATTTCAATTTTCACAAAAATCACCTCATCTCAAAAATAAACTCGTATGATTTTTCAATAAACTCTGGAGTTCACTTTACTCGTGTGTTCTTCATAAAATCTTTTGAACTGTTTTTTTGTGCGAGTGAAATTATTTCAATTTTCACAAAAATCAACTCATCTCAAAAATAAACTCGTATATTTTTTTCCATAAAATCTTGCGGCTGGGTATTTTTGCAAGTCAAACCATCCGATTCTGCACAAAAATTAACCAAAGTGCCGCCCTTGGCTTCCAAAGGGGGTTTTGATAGGGTCAAAAAATGCCAACAAAGTAAAGTCAATATCAGTGCAGAAAATAACCATATAAAGGCTGTATGACACCTGTTGGATTTGATTACAAATATGATAACAAAAATATTTTCTATGTGCCATACAGTATGAATATTTATAATATCAAAATATTTAGAGCCAGTCATATATTTTTACAAGAACGTTTGCAAATCTGCGCAAAATCAACACCTTTATGAGACATAAAAAATATTTTTGTCATCATTTTTGTTAACATATTTGTCATCAAATTTAACAGGTGTCATACAGCCTTAAGAGGCAATGCAAATAATGATAAAACAGATCAACAACAGTGGTGGATCCAGGGGGTAAAGAGGGTAATGGCTTACCCCCCAAGGCTCGTCGAAATACCAATCAACACTTTACACACTGAAATGTGTAAGGAATATATGATTTTTCAGCCATGAGTGAGAGAAGCTGTGGCATTCTTAAGTCCAAGTCATTTCTGAGTTTGAAGTAACCAATGTTTGGATTTATCCAAAATATTCAAATGGCACAATAAAATAAAGTGCTGTTCCTTCTACTTTCAGGAAGAAAAAGACATATCATGAAGTAACCAATGTTGATTAATAGATTTTAATGAATTTTAACATGACAAATACTCTCCTGATGATGATGGCCTAGTGCCGAAAACGTTCGAGTTGCTATCCAATCAATAAATTGTATACTATAGCCTGAGTCTTACTCATTAATATTGATTATTTCTGAATATGGCCAAGTTGATTCGCACCTCCGATCAAAATATTTTTCACGGTCATGTGCCTGTCCATCATCAACAACAAGGAGGGACCTTTAGACCGACAAAGAGGAGCAGGATTGGATTTCCCCTCAACATTGTCAACAATAATAAGTGTTTGGAGAGGTGTATATAAGAGGGACGCGTTTGTTTCTGGTACAGTGCTAGTGCAATCTCTCAAACGTCTCTATAAGCTCCAGATCGTGCTAATTGCTATTGTTGAACCTAGTCCTGCTTATTCCGATACCAAAAATGAAGTTCGCAATTGCTGTCGTATTGGCTGTGGCCTTCTGCTTCGTACAGGTAATTTTTATCATTATTATTTTCGTTTCTTGCAATCGTAACTCTATGCCAAAACACATATTTCTTCACCTACCAAATCATTTTCATTTGTAACTTATCTCTCAACATGTTTTTTTTTTCGATTCAATATACAGGATGAGTCATAAAACTATTGGGGCATAGGCTGAAGGCGGATTGTTTGGATCAAGTTATGGCGATTATTAATAAAATATTGCTGTGGAGAAAGATACGATAGGGCTTTATAGTTGATTTTTTTCGTTTTTTGGTAATAATTTTAATTCATTATTTCAAAACTTTTGGGATTTTCTCTCCTCGTTTCTATAAAATAAAAATATGAATATTATTTCAATATACGTGTAGTAAGGACAAATCAGATGATTTGCCCCAAAATGTCACTGCGTTTAAAGAATTTTCCTATCAGAGAGCCTAAAAGAAAAATTCACTAGCTTGTCAGTGACAATTTGTATTGAAAAAAGTTTGGAGAAGAGAAATAAAGGTATATAGAAAAAATATCAAATTTTCACTTATCTTTGGACGTTTCGGGACCGATTTTGCTCCCGTTTTCAACATGAGAAGAGATTATTTCAATAGCGAAGTCGTATAATATGTCTTGAAGCTTTTCAGTTTTCAATGACAATTGGTGACGTTGGCAATCAAATGAGTTACAGGATGTTTTCATTAATTAATCTTGAATTTACCATTTTCATGTTCAGATTTTAGTAGTGAATACAGACAGTATTTAATAATTTTAATGTTTATGGAATAGATTTGAAAAAGTTTTGTGATTTGGTTGTCTTCTGCCTGGATATAAAATATATCCCGTATTTCTGCATTCGTAAAAATGATTGTAATGTAACGAGGCATTCCAATCGAAATAAAGATTCTAACTCGCACCAAAACTTCAACGCCCTGTATCTCTTCCCACAGCAATATTTTGATAAGGCATATTTGGTCCTATCGCCATATTATTATTATTATATTATTATATTTTGATCAGAACAATCCGCCCTTAGGCTATATCCCAATAGTTATAATTCACCCTGTATAACAATATATTTTCCACGAATGCACGTGAATAATTGAAGAAAATAAATATGAATAACTAGTTCAAAATTTATTTTATAAATACACCAAATCAACAGAAGAAGAGATTCTCTTGAAAATCATGCTATGAAGTCATTAGTATGACAGCGTGTTTCGAAAATGGAATAAATGCATCATCCGTAACCAAAATTACCGGTTAATTATGATTTCTTAAGGCGCAATTTTCAAATACCTACACCATACAAAATAAGGTCGCAAATATCTGGATAATGGCAATGCTTTTGATATGTCATAGGCAACAAAGAATCAAAAAATAGTATATTGTGCAACAAGTGGGAAAAGTGCTTTTCCCCACATGATGCACACTATACTTTTTCTACAACTGCACTAGTTCGAAGAATCCGAGAGATGTAGCTTATTGGTATTCATTTTATAATGTGGCACTATGCCACATTGAATATTGTGACCAAAGAGTAGACGCCTTTCCTAGTTCCTCAAAGTATTTCAAAAGAGTACACTTTTCGAAAAATATTTAAATTCTGTATTCTTTTAGGTTCCTTAATTTTTCGTTTATGCCAATTCATACTTTTTTCTTGAAATTTCCGGAAACAAATCCAACTTTCGCAGTGTCTTCCATTATCTTTATCTCTGTCTCTGGCGGTGTATTTATCAATATCGTCACATCTCGGTATATAAATCATATTATCTATTATGAATTGTTGGAATAAAATTTGATGGAAAATACGATTTCTATCGAAAGCACTAATGAGAACTACCCTAAAGAATTCAAAAAACTTCTTCTGACAGTTGTGACAACTATTCAAAGCTGAACAGCAGCCAAGTTTTGGTCAATTTTTGTTGATTCTCCATGGAAATGTATGTGGTGTTGGCAAAGTGCCGTGAGAAAAAATATGTCTCATAGTATGAGCAATACATGGTTTTGAAACTAAGTTAGGTATGAGAAATGCGCTACTTTTCATAGCAGTAGTAGAAAAAAATAATTTTTATGAGGTTATAACTCCTTAGAACTTTTTCCTTAAGAATTTTTTAACGTGGAAATTTCTGCACAAATATTGCACACTATTAATGAAACACCAAGTATAATAACAGCTCACACCTCACCCTAGCTTGGTATGTATGTTTGTATGGTTGAATTTTGACCCACTTCAAAACACTTCGCATCAAGGACCAATGACAATAGCATAATTCAATAGTTTTGTTTTATTATTCTCATCAGATATACTTTTCAGGATGATAGTTATTTGTTTTACTAGATAGAAAAGGACAAGATTTAATGCCGCGGCTGGTGTTCGATACCAGCATAGGGATTCAATCTTTTTTTCTGCCTTGTGAAACATATTTTTTCCTCCAGGATACCGCACACTTTAATAGGGAAAGTGGCCCCCTGTCGAATTGGCTGAATTTTTGATATGTTATAGTCCAAGTCATTCCAACCAAAAAGTTCAATGGGCACAACTTTTTCTATAGGCTAGTTTTGGCGCTAGAGGCACTTGAAAACTTTCATTTGTTCTTCATTGCTATACAACACGGAACGGTATTTTGGGTAATAATCACTATTCTGCATAATCAAGATCTAAACAGTCATCAATATGAGATACTATCGAAAGTATTTTTCTTCGGTGTTGTTACATTTGGTCAATTATTCAGTGTGTTCTAGCTACTTATAATTTCCAAAGTTCAATAATTCGAAAATGGTTACAAATCGTCTTAGGGATATACAATGAGAACATGATTATGAATCCTATCCTACATCGTTCTCAACATTACATAGTTAAAAAAATTTAAGGAGTGTTCATTTTTAATGAAAGCGAAAGTTCGAACATTCGAAAAATTCCGTACCTACTGGAAAATATTGTTCGACCATCTTGTATTTCATGCCATGGAATAGAATAAGAAATAATTCAATGTATAAGATTATTATAGTCCATATTTCTTTTGGAAAATGTTTATTCATTCTCGGAATTGGAGGGTACCTACTGGATAATATGAAAACATTTAATCCCTTTATTGCAAAAATACACATGTTTCTGTAGATGACTTTGGAAATGATGTGAAAGTATCTAGAAAGGACTTATTTTTTCGTTACTTCATGTCAATTTAAAGTAAAATATGGCGTATAATTTCGCAGTGAGATTTGAGAGAAAAATCTCGTCATCGGAATAATACAAACTGTGGATCAAATACAATGTCAGTTTGGAAGGTGTGCCAATTCAGGGGTACTACTGTACGTGCAAATCAGGAAGTCGTACATTGGGTTCATGTTCTCATGTAGCTAGCGAACTTTGGTACCTTCGATATGCCCGTCATGCCGCCAATGTTGAGTATCCTTCGACGCAAATACTTCATACCATATCTGATGCTGCAGAGAGACATAATAATGAAGAACCTATGGTTGTATAGATTGATATACATTTTCATTGCATATTCTCCTTATTTCTTTTATCGTATTGATATATTCTCAGATGGAACACCCTGTAAGTTATTAGATGAATAATTAGGGTTCAGTCAAGGGTTTTCCATTATATAGGGTCGACGAATCGACGATACCAGGTTGAATGAGTACGTTAAATGTAACATATAATTGAGTTATAGTCCATTATTTTCTCCATATTACATTTATACTGAATGTGCGACTAGAGGCTTGGTTGACTTAGTAGGAGTTTTTCCGCGATACTCCTTGAGCATCAATATAATAATCATATTAATACTTATTCGACAAAACCCTTTCAAAATGATATACCACTTTGTTATATTTTCCATGAGTTCCATCATTAATTTGAAGTATTAATAGATTTAATATATGGAACACACTGTATGATTGATCCCTGCAATGAACAATACTTCCAATAGTATCTCATATTAATGACTGTTTGGATCTTGATTATGCAGAATAGTGATTATTACCCAGAATACCGTTCCGCTTTGTAGAACAATGAAGAACAAATGAAAGTTTTCAAGTGCCTCTAGCGCCAAAACTAGCCTATAGAAAAAGTTGTGCCCATTGAACTTTTTGGTTGGAATGACTTGGACTATAACATATCAAAAATTCAGCCAATTCGACAGGGAGCCACTTTCCCTATTAAAGTGTGCGGTAGCCTTTCTCAAATTTTCTGTAATTTTTTTATTGAGAACTTCATAATTAGGTACATGTTCACCCAATGTCAGTGTCAATTGTAAAAACTTCACAAACGATAAGATTTCCACAAAACTCTCAAACACACGACATATTTCGTTAACACAGTAGCTTCATCAGGTGATATACTGGTACAATGAACTGTTCATCCTTCCTAGGTACGCACGATGTTCTTCGAACTTTCGAACATCATTTCATTAGGATCAAATGTGACAGTTTTTTTGACAAGCGATATTTGCGATTGTGAGGCGGAGTGACCACGAAGCCGAGCACGCAAATTTTGCGAGTCACATTTGATCCGAATGAAACAACATCAATTGTTTCTGCAATCGAAATAATTAGTGAAGTTACCACTATTTTGAGTCACTTGAGCATGTCAGAGTCAAAACAGCTATCATATTAGCTGTCATTCGACACGTTTTTATAGTTCCTAGGAGTTACTTCAACTTAAGCTCCTATAGACACTAAAAGTGTTGTCTAGCAGCGTACATACTAATCATTTTATTGTGTCAATAATAGAAACGTCAACTTCAGCAGCTAATTTTGGAGAAAAAGTATATTGTTACCATGTTTTTTTTCAATTTAATTTTTAATTTTTTTCGGTGACGGGAAAAAAGTTTGGCATTTCATCTCTGTTGGCAGGTTATAAAATGTCACTTTTCATAAATTACTTTTTTCCCGTGGGAAAAAAGTGAGTACTTTTTTCCCGGATATATATCACATATAATATATACTCTGTTAATGGCTTTTTTTGTGCTATAGTTCCGAAAAATGAGTCAATAATACCGTCTCCGAGAAAGAACTGCAAGTCCTTTTATCTTCCATTCGACTTCGCGGTTTCGTATATTACTAAACAACTACTGAATTCGCAACTTTTCAAAATCAAATCACAGAATTGAACTGACAGAAGTGACATATTTGATTACTTCGAAAGAATGATAAAGATGTCTATAAAACGCAGGTGTCCCTACTGTTAAAAACTTGAAATTTCACGTCGATAATTTTCAGATTTCGAAATAATGTAATATCTTCTCAATATTGATTCGTCCTTCCTTCTGTCACAGAAAAAAATAGTGTATTATACACGGTTTTTTGTCTCCCTCCGCTACGCGTCGGGAGACAACACAACCTGGAGCTAAAATCTACTACTTTTTTCCCTTGTATAATAAATAACTATTTAATTTTCAGTTTGCCCTCAATAAAAGCGTGTTTTTCTAGTTTTCTCAAACTATTATTTATTTTGATTCTAGGCTGACCTTAGCCCCGAGCAAGCCGAGAAGGTGAAACAGCACCACAAGGAATGCATGCAATCCTCTGGCATCACCCCGGAACTGCTAGCCAAGACCAAGCAGGGCGAGTTCCCAGACAACCAGAAGCTGAAGGAGCACATGTTCTGCTTCGCCCAGAAGGCTGACCTCATGGACGCTCAGGGCAACATCAAGAAGGACGTACTTCTTGCCAAGGTATGTGCATTCCGGGCGTCAAAAAATCTATTAGACAAGTCATATAACATATTCGGTCTATGAAAATGAAATTTGATATGGTTATGTGGTACCAGCTTTTACCCGCAGCTTCGCTCTCGTTGAAGCCCTTTGTGAGTTTTTCGAACAGGCTACATATAAACTGGTCAACATTGATAACGTCGTGGTCTGAATCTGAAATGTGGCCTGAATTCAAAGTAGAAGAACTCACGAATTTCCTTACCAATTTTAAATCGGTTTTCACCGATGATCAACCTAATCTGTTGACAGTTTGTTGTGGCAATATGAAACTTCTGTAATTTCAGACAACATTGCTACAGGGTGATAATTGAATGGGTGGCAAATTGCATCGTGGTTGTCACATTACCGTTTGAACAGATATATTTTTTTTTCTCACCTGTATCCTCTTGATTGATGCTTTCTCTCGAAACTGAACGGAATTTCCAAATTAAGAGCTTTGATAATCGTGTTATAAATATTGATTGAAAATGATGCATTTTTTCGACTATAAGTTGAATAAAATTGGAAGATGGAATTCTTTTTCGAAGGATCAGCATTGTAAGTATAATAGGCGGATATGTGATCGTGTTCGAACACAGAAAATTCCGAAGAAGTCTATACAAAGTGATACAAGAAATACTGAATGATGGAATGGAGAATAATGTAGCCTTCAGTAGATGAAACACAATTTTCTCTGTGTTACTAGTGAAATAATGGAGTAATACTTCGTCATGAGGATGTCCGATGTCTGACCTCGAAAGGGTTTTGTAATTTCTCGGATCGAGGGTCATATAATGAAGGTACGCATTTTTAATCAAAATGATATGCATTTTCGTTGAGATAAATTATAAAATTCAAAAGATTATGATTGTAGTTCCAGAAGTATGGAATTTATATTTATTCTTGACGATGGATATACAAGGTGCGACAAAAAATATGTCCAGATTTTCCCGGGATGAAGAATATGTTTAAACGTGATGAAAATCGCTATGTTCCGAAACAGAAATATTGTGTCGGTCATTGTCGAAAATTGTGAAATGTATAAATACAGTAACTTTTCATGAAAGTCAATCCAATATGCAATTAGGATTGTTTGAATGAATAGGACAGCTGGAGAATGGACCATCAGCGCTAGCAAGGCACGACAATGTATGAGGTTAACCTTCAAAATAAAGATCTTATCACAATCTTATCATCCATTATTTCTATTATTTTTATATTTTGATCCTTCCTATACCAGTATGGGGATTTGGAAGCCATCAATGGAATGAATGCCGGCTGATTGACCGTCGGGAAACCGTCGACCGGAGTGACCTTTTCTTGATGGCCCCGTACCAAAGCCGGTTATTTTGCCGCATCATCTATTTATGGGAGCAGAGTGTATTGGGCCTTAATTTTAACGCAAATGAATGTTTGTTGGGATGTGTCTGGGCAACTAAGCAGAGATATACCTTGTTGTTCCTGCCTGGATTGTTGGTTTATCTATGCATTTACAAACCATCTTTGAGTTGATGTTAGAAAATCTCAACGCTTTGATGGATACTTTATGATTGTCGGAGAGGATAGGGATTTCCTTGTTCCGGTAATTTCTGTACAGGTTGAACTTTTCATTGTCGTGAATTTCCACTTGAAAAACGTTGGTGAACTGGCTCATCGGTTCGGAATATTTTGTACGAAGTCCACTCACTCCTGCTCCAGTTCCTTCGGGAATACCATATATTGTCGCAGCTCAGATGTTGACCCTCCTATGGTCGTGACTTAGCTACTCGCTTGGCTTTTTGACAAGAGGCTTCATTCATTTCACCATCGAACCCTATTCATCCCCAAATAAAGAGAGCGGACAGTTTTCGTATAAAATTGACATTTATTGATTTAATGAAGAGATCATGAATAAATGCTGCCACATGGCAGGTTAGCAAAGGAAAAAAACAACGCAAAACAACACTTGAAAAAAAAACAGTACTTACATTATAACGTCTAGCAGGGGGTTGACCAGCAGGCTTGAAGTTGGGGAAACATTGTCAATAATTGATGATCACCAAAATCACTTGTGTCGATAATGAATGATTGCCTCATCGATTCGGGTACTATTTATATTCGGAATCGATGCTCGGTTCGCAATTTTCCACAATGGGAACTGTCGTTACTTTTCGATACCGCTTACCTAGGTATTATCGCCGCGGTAACCCAATCAGCACCAGACATCTTAAAGACGTACATTTTACGACTTACTTACGTCTTTACGTCCAGGAACGTATAAAGTACGTCTTTAAGATGTAAATCCATGTACATCTTAAAGACGTACACGAATTTACGTCTTTGAGACGTACATTTTAGGTCGTATCCACGTCGTTCCTCCCATGTCGTATAAAAGTCGTCTCAAAGACGTACATTCCAGTACGTCAATTCGACTTATATATAGAACAATAATGTAAGTTATTTTCTGAAGAAAAACAAAATTTCATCTCTTCACGTTTTTTATTTTCAATTGTTCAGTTTTTTCTTATTTCCAACGAAAGTGATGTTTTTGAATTTTTTCGTCCGACATTTTGGAGCCTTCGTGTTAGATTCTCGAATTTTCACAAAAAAATCATATTCTCCGAACCCAAAAGTCCCATAGTAATCAATTTTGAATAAAATCGGACTATAATCACAAAACTCGTCCTCCATTTTGAAGCCGACATCTTGGATTTTTCATTTTCGACAAAAGGAATTATAATCTCTGATCCCGAAATCCTTCAGATGCCAATTTTGAATCAGATCAGACCATAATCAGAAAACCATATGCCACATTGGATTCACCATCTTGAATTTTGATTAGAATCGGATAACATAATCAATGAGAAAATCGTCCGCCATATTGGATCCGCCATTCTGTTTTTTCCATTCAATAATGATATCACAACGAATTGTCACCGGAATAATATTTACTTGACAAATTTCAAATCAATCGGACGATTTAAAGTGAGTCAAATTTAACTTGCACGTTTTGATTACAAACAGACAAAAGGACATGTTAAATCAAGTAAAAGCTTGTTATCTGATGTATAGAACAAACAGAGTAACAGAAGAAGTGAGTATGGTCGTTGATTGATATATTACGCTTACGCTGGGTAAGCGTAATATATCAATCAACGGTATGGTATAATCATCGAAGTCAAGCAACAAAGAGCGCGGTTAGTACTTGAATGGGTGACAGCTTGTGTCTACCGTTTGATGAAGTCGTTTATTTACCTTTTTTTTGCTTGTCTGCACTTGTTGCTAACTTCAGTGCACAGGTGAAAATTAACTGAAACTATGTGATTTTTCCGTAATTTGAAAGATCAATTTGAGGTCATGGACCAAAAACACCTAAAAAAGACGTCTTAAAGACGTACATATTAGTGGAAAATGTACGTTTTAAAGACGTCTCCTGGACGTAATATGTACGTCTTTAAGACGTACTTATGTCCCGACATGTACGTCTTAAAGACGCCTTTAAGACGTACTTTGGCTGATTGGGAAGCGATTTCTTTGCAAATTATAAAGGAAATGATGTCTATGAACTCCGCTGGCCTGATCGAACTACAATGTACTGAATGTTTTAATTTGGAGAAGTTGATTAATGATGGAAGATCTTGAAACGAACGAGAGTTCGAGTGGTGTTGATTCATAGACATTTATACTTCTTGACAATATCATGGTATTCTTTCCCAGTGCTTGGATGGATTCTGTGCTCTATTCTCTTTATTTTTATTTTCCAGGCTGGTGCAGCCCTGGGAGACCGTACGCTGGCTCAGAAACTGATCGACGAGTGCGCAGTGCAGAAGAAAGACGGACCCGAGACGGCCTTCCAATGCGTGAAATGCTACTACGAGAAGACCCCATCGCATCTCAGTCTCGTATAATTTCACTTTTTTCTTCCCTTGTTGATTCCATTTTCAGTGTGTTACCTAATAATAAATCGTAAATTTTAGTGATTTGGTGTTTAATTTTAGTGATAGATAGATAGATAGATAGATTACACTATGTGGGCGGACGGATCCTTCAGCATGTAGGCCTCCTAGTTCGGGCCCGTTATACACCCACCTCTGCTGGGAATTGGTTCAGTCTTGAAGGTAGCCAATTTCGCGGGCGAAAGAGACCAGCCTTCTCAACGAAACCCTTCTCACACTCTCTGGTTCCAAAACGATGTTCCCGAGATGTGCTTCCCGTATTGCTGCAACTGCTGGGCATTCCGTGAGGATGTGAGTAGCTGACTCCTCGTCCTCCAGGCACCACATACATTCAGCATCATCAGTGATACCCATAATGTTGAGGTGCCTGTTTAGATGGCAGTGACCCGTGAGGAGCCCTACCACTATTCTTATTTCTTTTCTGCTCAATGTGAGCAACGTTTTGGTTCTTCTGATAGAAGGGCCCTCGATATGGAGTTTCGATTGTCTCATGCCTCGAGTCTCTCTCCATACCTCCTGGAATTTCGTTTCCAAGCTTTTCATCATGGTTGAGACGCCCCAGGATCTAGAAACTCCTATAAGATTGGTTCTGGTCCAATGGCTGAGCTATTTGCTCCTTGTCTAGCCAGGGAGTCGGCCCTTTCATTACCGGGAATTCCCTTGTGTCCTGGGACCCAAAGGAGTTTCACCTTATTGGCTGCGGATAGCCTTTGAAGCTCATCAATACACTCCGACACCAACAGCGAACTGACCCTGTATGATGTGAGGGCCTTGATCGCCGCCTGGCTGTCGGAGCATATCGTGATCAGCTGGCCATGGTAGCCTCTGTTGATATTTTCTCTAACACAGGCGAGAATGGCAAAAACCTCTGCCTGAAACACTGTAGCAAAGTTCCCCAGGGGGTAACTGAGTTCCGCTTTCGGAGATTGCCCATATACCCCAGCTCCTGCCGATCCCTCCATCCTGGAGCCATCTGTGTACCAAATGATTCCAGTGGTAGGGATCAGGCGGTGCCCGAACTGCTCCCAGTCCTCCCTTTTCGGGATAATTGACTGAGGCCTTTTGCTGAATCTAATGACAGGATAGTGAAACTGTCCCCCGGCATCTCTAGGAGGGGGCATTCCTTCCTTCAATTTTAGTGATTTGGTGTTTTTTTTTTTCATCCGGTAAATAATAAACACGACTGTTTACTGTTTCGTACACCACTTCATTCATGAGTATTGTAGGCACAGGTGAAGCGCATATTTTCTCCCTTTTTAGACTCTTTTTCTAAATCTGAATTATTCCGAATTAATCTCGTCTAAAATGTGGTTCGTATCCAGACTGGAGTATCGAAACATTTCCAGAAACAAGAGTACCACCCTTTCGAGTTTCAAGTAGGAGGTATAGGTACCTTTTTATCGTACCTAATTGAAAAATTTCGAGCCATATACAGGGTGTTTCAAAAAACCTAACCCCTTGCTAGGGTAGGTAGAACACTGCAAAATAAGTTGGGTTTGCTCAGTGAAAAAATGTCGTAACGGCATTCGTTTTCATGATAGGTGTTGATTTTTTTACACATTTTTCACGATTATGTCGAAACTACTGGCAACATTGTAATGCAATTTTGTATGAATGTTTCTTGAAATCTGACACATCACATGAATTTGTTTTTATATCTGACTCTCATAGAGGGCGGTAGTTACAGGGTTCGTACCGAGTTGTTTAGAACATAACTTTTTTGAGGTTAAATTTTTCAATCCAAATATGATATGAACTTGAAAATCATTCAATTTTACACCAAAAAGGTACTCTTGGTGAAACTCGATACTATGTTCCGTTTTCGGAATATTTCGATTTGAAAATAATGGAGTAATAGCTGATGCTGGTATAAAATGAATTTTATTGAGTTCAATTACCTATTTCTTCCGATTCAAAAATCAATAAAATTATTCTTATGCTGAAGTTATTGATGGAACAAAGAATCATAAGTAAAAAATTGAGAGATATTTGACTAGAAACATGAAATATTGAATCAGTCAGAGTAGGTGTTCAAAATGTCCTACGTTTCGAAGAAAAAACGATTCTATATTATTTTCTTAAGAATGTATTATTCTTCTTAACAGTTGAGGAACAGCTGTTAGGTCATTTTTAGTGATGTTCAATTATGTCTTACAACTCTTGACGTGAATTTACCTATGTAGCATAGACTTTCTGCTCAAGATATAACAAAACTGTGTAATCCATGTTATTTGTCAAATCTGTTTCGATGTTATTCTTGTGATTCATTGTTGAATCAATAAGTATAGCATCAGAAATGTATTGTTGTTTTCGGTTTTCAATAAATAGGTGATGCGGAACGCAGTATCGAGTTTTACCAAGAGTACCTTTTTGGTGTGGAAATGAATGATGTTCAAGTTCACATCAAATTTGGATTGAAAAATCTAACCTCAAAAAGGTTATGTTCAAAACTACTCGGTACGAACCGTGTAACTAGCGCCCTCTATGAGAGTCAGATATAAAAACAAATGCATACGATGTGTCAGATTCCAAGAAACATCCATACAAAATTTCACTACAATGTTGCCAGTAGTTTCGACATAATCTTGAAAAATGTGTAAAAAAATATTTTTTTCAACACCTTGTATCTTGAATAACGGATGCCGTTACGACATTGTTTTATTGAGTAAATCCAACTTATTTTGCAGTGTTCTACTTACCCTAGTAAGGAGGTCAGGTTTTTTTGAAACCCCCTTTATAATATGATGTACCTACCTCAATAATTCATAATATACAGAAATTAAAATTTGGAATTTTTGACTATTATTGTATTTGTTATGAACGTAAAATTTCAAGAAATGTTGACAAATATAATAGCCCCAGCTGAATTTTTTTCAATAATAGAACATAATATTATTTACATTAATTTTATTTAACATATGTTTATAACTATGATTCACAAAATTAAAGCATGTACATTTCTATAAATTTAGAAATCAAAACTAAAGAAAGTTCTATGGTAAAAACTAAAGTACCTCTATCTATTAACAAGTTCATTCAAATGGAGAAGCAATAAGTGATGTGATTAAAAATTGCAATAAAAACCTTTGGATAATAATGTGCAGATAAAGCACCAAGTTGTTGAGTATATAATGATTATTTCAATTATGACTGGAAGGTCCATGTAAACAATAGGTAAGGGCAAGACAGCAAAAACAAATATACATTTTACTTATAGATAAATCAATTGATAAAAAGTTTACTATCTTAAACTAACATTTCTTTATATAAACGTAATCGTTTCTCAAGGCACCTTTCTATTTGTTTTAATTTGTGGTAGCAGATTAGAGAAGATCATTTCATCAAACGAGATTATCTGCTTGACCCATCAACATATAGGAAATACATACACAATTGATATCCTAAGTCATATATATTTATTATAAAAATACAAAATTCTCTGTGCAATTATTGGAGTGTGATTAAGTGTAAATCACAAGGCACTTGGCATCGTCTCCAATTTCAACATCAATCTTTAATTCTCGGAATGAAAGGGTTGTCTTTAAATGAATGCAAATCGCCGGAATGGAACCGAAAAATTATCATGGTTAGTATTCCCCATATCTGGAGAGAACATTAAATATGTGTGAACTGATTCTTATAGAAAATACAAAATTTAGTGATCGGAAAACCTAAAAAATTACGGAGATTTTATTGATAAACTATTTGGACAAGAGCCTGTAGGCATATACAGTTTTCCTTGTAATTTCAAGATATCTTCACATGGGAAGAAAGATTTATCCCAAACATGATAACCTATATCGAGTTTATTTCTTAGGAAATACACCTTTTCTATATCCCCACTATCACCCACTAAGTGCAGTTTATTAATTATAATACTGAATTTTGGCAAGAGTAATCTTGCAAACGTTTTGAAGGAAATTCTAGGTTCCACAATGATGATCGGTTTTGTTTTGCGTTATAAGAGATTCTATATAAATAGAATATAAAATTGTTATTCCAAGTAATTGGAATTTGAGAACAGTTTGTATTAGAGTCTAGAGTAGGATCAAACATCCTACATAAAAAAACAAAATATGTTCTATGGAGAAGTCAACTTTTATCCTACAGGGCAAAGGTTTCAAAATTAAATTGAAACTAATATTTCCAATGAACAACAACCAATAGATTAACCTACAGACAGTACTTAACAACCAATAGATTTTCTTTCAAATCGACGATAATAATATAATCTCGTTGGAATTTGTCTTTTTCAGGATTTTCCAGTTTCTACCATTATCTGGAGCTAAAAATATTCGTACATCTCAGGTATCATAAGGTACACCCAGATTATTTGGGATCATAAGTTTTTGTGTTAAATTCAAAAATTTTTCAAGCTGAGAAAAACAAGCAATGATTTCTAAACAGAACATTGTGAAATCGCAATACCTATCATATCTGATTTCTGACCGATTTCAATCATTTCATTCATTATCTTCCCGCTATATTGGAATTTGATTATAGAACATACCGAATATAAAACGGAATTGTTTGTAGTGAGGTAAACCAAATAAAATCATCACGCTGATAATTAAAGAGTTGCAATTACGTTATAAACAATAACATCTATGTCAAATTCATTCATCAATTATTTTCATGTTTCTGAATCGTTTCACGGTTTATTCATGTAATAACAATGCACGTGAAACCCATTAAATTTGTTTGAATCAGTTCAAACAAATCTTCAAATCAATAATAAATATGATGTTAAGTATCAACAGTACATACTCTGGACTGTACCTCGTATGTGATAGTAATCAATCCTATTGGCGTCATTTCAACATATTTAACGTATCGTTCAAATATTGATGCTCGGTAGCAGTAAAACATTTCTAATATTGTACTTCATTGTTTTCACACTGGATGTTATTTTCATTATCAAATTCGGTGTTTATCTTATGACATTTCATTCAAAGTTGCCATGTTTCGTGTGGCCAAAATGAAAAGATCAGAAATTGTATCACAAAATTTGAATTGAATGTAATGAAAAATTGTAGTGAAATTTGGACATTGCTGCATATGGAGTTCTGTTTCGGCAATATCCCGAATACTTTCTTCCGTGGTTTGAAGCCCTTACACTACGAAATTTCTAAGATTGAGCAATGAAGCTCAAGAAAATTTCCGTGATAATGAAAATCTTGATCGTAAATGACCCCAACTTGAGATTTTAAAATGGGACATCCAATATATTTTTACTTATCTCGATCGAGAATGACATTCAAATTATTCATAAGAAAATGATTGTTCACAAAAAGACAACCTTTTCCATTTGCAAAATCGAATAATTTTTGAAATTACTGTGAAGCCATAAGCCTTAAAGTCGTATTTTTCCCATGTTACTTGATCAAGCAAAAAATGGAAATTGAAATAAAAACCACTTTATTTGTCAAATATCGGGATAAGTAAAAATATATCGAAAGTTGGGGTCATTTCCTGTCAAACTGTAAGTACAGCAAAGCAAGTAGATTTGTCAAAAAATGTAAATTGAACTATAATACACAGCCCCAAAATTTTGTTTTTCTATCTTCAATTATAAAGAGGTGCACCACCTTGAAGAATCACCCGGTATACTATACAATATCTGATTATTGAACATTTATCCTCCCCCTCCCAATCAAATTTTAATTTTCATTTAAAATTGATGATATCCAATGATTAATAAATGCATGACATTTTAAAAAATGATACCGCGGAAAAAAATCCATAGCATTGCATGTATTTATGCAACATATGTTTAGCCTATAAGCGTTCCTATATTGAGAGACACTTTTAAACAAAATGAAGAATAAAGTTATTGAAAAAATCTATCAAAATTATGAACAATGGGCATATGAGCTCCAGCTCATCGTCCTATCTTCAAGATCAGATGATAACAAATGTTTTTGAACATGTAATCTGCTGGAAATCCTCACCATCAATCTGGAGAATGATGGTTTTGAATGAATCTGTACTCAGATTGATAATTGAGGGATCATTTTTGCTGTATGTAAAAGTGTAGGAATGTTTTAGTGGGGAAGGTTTATGTTTAGGTCCTGAATTTTGGGATTATTTCATGATAGGTTTGTTCATGTTCACAAAATTAACAGTCCGAAACCATCAGAAGCATGCGCAGTGACAAAGAAGTGTTCGCGTATTCTCAGGACTGTTTTGAACTCTACAGATTCAGTTTTACATGAGCTAGTTTGGGATAGTTTTGAATGGGTCCAAAGCAGTATGAGCCTCTGGGCAAGAACTGTCCATGACTGCCGTGGATAATTTTGGATGCCCATGCGTTTATGCAACAGATTTTAACCTATAAGCTTTCTAAGTTAAGATATTCACTTCTAAACGAGATGAAGAATGGAATTATTGAAAAAATTCAATCAATCCAAGATTCTTCATCCTCGTCAAGTTCAGATGATAACAAACGTTTTTGAACATTTTATCTTCTGGAACTTCTCAAAACCAATCTGGAGAATGTTGGTTTTGAATGAATCTGTCCTTGGATCAAGAACAAATGGTCCTTGGGTCAAGAATAAATGCATTATTTTGGAGGTATACAAGTAGGAATATTTTAGTGGAGAAGGTTTTTAGGATTCTTTCATGTTAACATCAACATGAACCTAACTAAATATGCCCTCGATCCCCGTGAGTCAAGACACATCATATTTTTTTGGAGACAGAAGATGAGAAAACGCGTTATCGTTTATCTGGTTTCTAAACTATCCCATATTGTTTCGGATTCAATTTGATGCGCACCTGATTCTGGGCCGTCGATGGACCATTTTAACAATTTGGAACACAAACAAGGCACTGTCTACACGACGGCGAAGTTTAAAGAAAGTTGGGCCTCGCAGTGGTAGAACCCGAGTCACCGCCGTGGTGGTCAGGTACACTGTCAACTGAGCTATCGCTTTGCTCGAAAGTACTCTCTATGAAAAAGGAAGAAATATCGTCGCGGCGGTTGTTATTGTATCAGTATCCAACCGCCGCGGCGGTCGTTTATGATTCAGTATCCACCCGCCCCGGTGGTCGTTTATGAATCAGTATCCAACCGCCGCGGCGGTCGTGTAGACAGTATCAACAAACAAACCTGCAGGGGGATTCTGTTTCACGATCGTCGATTGTCGTACGATACGATGATGAACTCGAAGTCGAATTCACTTCCTATTCTATTTCTCGATCAAGTAGCGATCGAATTCGACTTCGGAAATCATCGGTTTTTGGACGAAATGGGATGAGATTTTGATTCAGTGAAACGAGCACCGAGGCCATAGCCCAACGCCATCAGAAATTTGAGATTATGGTGGTTACATTGTTTTTATGAATTCCAATTTTTACAACCCTAACGAAAATAAAATAATCAGGTACCCACCTAATCCTTTTTCATTACCTGAAAGATGATTTATTGAGCTATTTAGATTGAACAACAGGTTGGTTCGTCTTCTGATACAATCATTGAGACCCCACTTATTAGTTGATAGGTCAAAGTATGAAGGAAATAGGTCAGGAATCGGTATACAAAAAATCTCAAATATTCTGTGCACTGAGGTTTTATGCAACTATATCATAGCAAAGATGCTACCTTACGCCATTTCTCAGGAGTTCACTCGTCAAACCCCAATGAATTTACTTGGCTTAGGCTGATTAACATTTTTTTATTGGTTTCACGATCATTAGACATTGAACATTAATTATACATTATATTTATGAAGTAATAAGTTGATTACACACTTTCAAAGCTGTGCTTTCACATAAACAAGATGATCTAACCTCAAATTGGGATGAAGATGAAAAGAAACATTCGATGACAGATAAGGATAGATTAACAAAACGGATTGACACGACTCCTCTTGAGCTATCGCGGAATCGAGTCGAGTTTACACGATTCATTCAAGAAACAGAATACCAAATATCGAATAAAGATGGCCGATTCGACTCGATTCGTGAAATAGAATCTCCCTGCTGATAACACCAACATAACCCTAACCTGAATATATGCCCTCGATTCACGTGTCAAGACACAGCATACTTTCGAGGAAGAAGATGAGAATACATGGAAACGAGTTTTAGTTTATCTAGTTTCAAAACTATCCTAGACTAATTCTGCGCAATCCAAGGACCGTTTCAATAATTTGGAACACGAACAAGCCTATTGAATTCCTGCATGAGCTGCAGGATCTAAATGGCGTTTATGTCAGTGGCCATCGCCAACTGGACGTAATTGGCAGGCAGCATGCCCACCTGCCCGGTGCGTTGCACTTCGCCTGTCATCCAGCCGCCGTCGATGCTGCGTACGTTCACGATCAGGTCGCCATCTTGGAAGCTTACCTCGTCGACGTCCTGCGCCTCGTAGTCGTACATAGCCTTGTAGACGCGCCCCAGCGAGCCGTAGTTGTGGTTCACGGGGTCCATGTCGTGGACGGAGCCTACGACGATGATTTTTTTTTCGTTCATTACTTTCTCAATTGGCAATAACACAAATGTGTCAAGTCAATCTGAATGTGCATGCCACTGAATGGGCGAGTGGCCTGATAATGAATTATGAACACTTATGAATGCATCACTTTAAAAATTGGTAGTCGGGGGCTCTTTGGGACGCGAAAGCCGAATACAGACATATTTTCACTGTGGTCATTAGAGGGTGCTTACCAATGCACTTGTTATGGTCCAGAATGGCCACAACTCTTTTCTCAATGTACTTATCATTGTAAAAGATCGCTGAAAAAGTCGATTTCGATATATTTCGGTTTTAAGTGTTCGATGCCAGACCGAAATATTTAACACGTTGACGGACACATGCAAAATGGTGTAGGTGGTTTGTGTGACAGTATCAGAACTTTACTACGCAGGTATTATGGAAGACGTCCAAAGACGTCGTTGTGTCACGGAGCGCACATTGTCAACAACGTCTATAGACGTCGTTGTCCGTCAACGTGTTAAATTATTTTGAATGAAAAAAGCATGTTTGCTGTTATCTTTGTGGATGTTAATTGGTCAGTGAATGAATAGTGCAAAAAAATTTTTGGGTTGTACTTGATTTTCATTTTTAAAATTTACCACCGCTTCTCGGAAACGGAGCAATTTCGGACGAAGTTAAGTTGCTTCAAATCAGCTTATTTTGACCTCAGGATTTCGCCCCCCCCCCCCCCACCTTCCACCTTCACTATATCAAATAGGGCTCCATCATCTTACAGGCCCATTTGCCTGATGTGCAAGATGAGCAAAATCTATGAATGTCTACTTAAAATCAGACACGAGCAGGAAATAAAGGATAACGGAGACCAACACGGATTCCGAAAAGGACTCTCGACTGTACAGGCAGTCCAAGAGGTGGGGCGAATGGTAACGGCTTCAACACAGCGTCCTGGGATCTGATAACAGCACAGCGCCGTGGGAACTGATAGAAGCAGAGCTGCGGAGACGGCAGGTATGGACTTATCTGCTAAACATAATAAGAAGCTATCTGACTATCAGGAAAATCATCGTAGGCGAAGAAGAGTTGGAGCAGTTACAGCAGGGGTACCTCAGTATTAGTACGTTAGAACCTGTTCTTTGATGGAGTGTCGAGAGAACAACTGACCGATGGCACAAGGTGGAAGGACATGAGCCGAATATAGGGCTCTGGGTATGGATCAGCCGTGACAAGCTGAAATTAGCCCATAAAAAACGAAGGTTGTCATACTCCGCAGGCCCTGGAGAAAAAACTGACAGGAAACAGCTCCGATTTCCCCAGGAGGGCATAGACCGTGTACTGTACCTAGATGATATCGGCAGCTTCAATAGTCATATAGAGTAAAGGACAGGGACGTTATCTATAGGTTGATGAGAAACATTGGTGGCCCCAACAGCAACAAACGCCAGCTATTGAGTGAACTGGTGCACTCCATCCTGCTATACGGTATGGGCAGACTCGCTGAATGTCCGAAGATTCAGACAGATGCTAGAAAGGACCCAGAGAAGGATAGCCCTACGAGTCCCTAGCGCATATAGAACAACTTCCCAAAGGGCAGTAGAAGCCATCACTGGCAAAGTGCCGATTCACCTCTTGGCGATAGAACGCAAGATACTACATGACAGAGGGGATGGCAGATCCGCCAGGTCTATCGAACGAAAAACATCTTGGGATATGGTAACGGGAATGGCATACGGGACACAGCACAATCGACCAAGAAGATGGTATCGGACACATAAATGTGATATGAGTGCAAACACAGAACCGTGGACTACTACCTAATGCAGATGCTAACATGCCATGGATATTTTAGAACATATACGAAGCGCATAGGAAATAGTGAAAGTGCAGAAAGATGGAGACGCCAGCACACACAGGAAATATGCAGAGATGTCAGAATTTGCGACGGAAGATCTGAACAGGATGATGAGAGAAAGCAAAAAAAGCTGGGGGTAATTAGGGTACTGGAAAGAGCAATCCTGAATGGAAAAGCAAATGAGAGAAAAGAACGAGGAGGGCTAGACTCTGACAATATCTGCTGCTTGCTGCTATATAACACAGATAAAATAAGCAGCTTTTGTCTATGATGGCAATGTCTAAAAAAAAGGTATGTCATTAATTCAAGTGCTGGCTACAATCAAAAATCTCATGAAAAATGGTAACTCCACACACAACTATTTGTTAGATATTTAAATCAACCTTTCTGATGTACACCTATGGTTTCAACAAGGGTTTTCAATGACTTATCTCATGAAGTATTAGTTTGAGATACCATACTGCATAAGATTGAAGTCAATGAAAAAAAATCTAGATGACTTATCTCAAATCTGCAAAAAATGAGATGCTACATTTCATAGTTGAATAATGTCTGTTGATGAAGTGCATACATGAAGTGATGCACAAATCTATAATTAGCTAGTTTGATTTTTTATTTCAGTTTATCATTTTTTGAAATGATAATCTAATATACATGTTAAATGGAAAAAACCATTTTTTTTATTCCCGGAGAGGGTCCAATTAAAGTCAGAAATTCGAAAATTAGACTAATCTAATATACATGTTTAATGGAACACCCAATTTTTTTTCAATTCCCGGAAGACGGTCGAAAAAACGTCAGATATTCGAAATATATTAGACATACACCACTGAAATAGAACATTGATTTAAATTTTCATAGTTTCTTCAGCATATTATGATAGAGAATGAAAGCTTTAACTTTAGAGAATAGCTCAGTCTTCTTTTGAAGGGTTTATGCCAACAATCAGGTAAATTTGCTGGTCTTTTATGACCTTATGATTATTTCAAAAATAGGTTTGAATAGCAAAGGTGTCATTTTTATGGAAGACATAAACCTTCACTTCTTAAAATTCACTTACCTATATGACGTTGAGGAGGATTATTGACGCTACCAACGTCAGAGGAATAGATGAGAGTCTGGGAATTTCTGGAAGCAGAATATGGGCTTTGGAATTGCATCACATTAGCCTGGGGATCATAGTCACTGATTTTTCCCACACTATTTGAATTTGCTAAAGGCTGTTGAACAACTTGAGGTTGAGGCACTGCTGAAGGTGCAGGATGCTGATATGAAGTCTGTGGAGCATTAGCATTCCTCAAATCTGTCTCTTTCAGACCTATATTCATAAAAAAATGCAACAATCAGCTTCCATTATAGACCGGGAGATGGTGACACAGAATATTTGGTCATTTGTACCAGTATGGCGGTTCTTCAGGGATCTAATTACATAATTATAGAAAGGGGAAAGATGTTCATAGCACTGGCATGGATGGCCCTAACACATGGTCATTAAATTCTTGTATTTTCCGATGGTCAATAAAAAACAAGAAGGCGGTTGGAAGCGTCATACCATAAATCTCTGGTGTGACTCACAGCCCACCATACCGACGGAAATACATTTAATTGAAAATAAAAACAATTCAACCATGTGTACCTGGTTAATTTTTGCTCAGCTAATCATCGTCGAGTTAGCTTTTCTGACGGTTCAAAATGGCCGCCATACCGCCGAAAAGTAGAATTTTTTTTTCACAAAATGATTGTTCCAGTATAACATTTGGATTTTTGGAAAGTATTTGATAAAATGTGACCGTTATTATATTTGCCATACTTTTAGTAGGGAGAAAAATTGCAACCATACTAGAAAAATGTATTCATTCCACACGTTTTATAAAACTGTAAAATATGTGAATTTTATTTACAGCATTGGCATCATTGTATTCTGTTTGATTGGATGCAATTCTACCTAAATAAATTATTGGGGCGGACGATTGTCGGACTTGAGCAAAAAATGGAAAAAAAAGTTTCTTCAAGGATTTGTACCAGTATGGCATTTGAATTTTTGAGAATGAGAAGAAATCATACAAAGTGACCATTATTATATTTGCCATACTTCTAGTAAAGGAAAAACATGGCGCCATATTTGAAAAACTTGATTTTTGCACATGTTTTCAAGATATAAACATATAATAATTTGCCACCTCCAGAGATCCACCTCCCACAGGTATGGCATTATCAGAATTCTATTTATGATGATACAGAGAATTGTTAAAACAAAGTTTGAGGGTGGTACAATTTTTTTTGGGAAGAAAATTACTCCTTTATAGCGGTATGGCGGCCATTTAGAACCATCAGAAAAGTATGGTCATTTTTGTGAATGGCTACTAGAGGATGATTAGCAAAAATTATCCTGGTACAAATGGTTGGATTTCTTTTAAATTAATGAATTCTTGTTGGTATGGTAAGTCACACTGGAGAAATATGGCATTACACTACCACTTTCTTTTTTTTAATCGACTATAGGATAATTCAAGAATTTTTGTGGAACAATTCATTTGAAATTCTTTATTTATGCAACACATCACTTTCCTATTTGTTATTACATAATTTGACCCCTGAAGAACTACCATACTGATATACATATTTTTTGTCACCATCTCCTGGTCTATAAATCTTCAGCATTCATGTAAAATATTTGAACCACTGCAGAGTTGAAAAAAACTGAGTGAAATGGAAGAGTTTAATCAGTGATGTGAATTGAAAATATTATTTACTGTATCATTATGACCATAGATTATTATAACCTACAAAATGCCTTATTTTTCTGTTTAGTTCAAACCTGAACCTTAGGAGAACATGCTCTAAAACCTATTCTAGTAAGATCAAAACATATAGCTACTCTTTAAAATGATCACCAGATCATTCTAGAAAATAAAAAACCATTAATATTATTGAAAGAAATGATCCATCAAGTTTTGAATAGCTCAATGAATTTTACCATTGGGATTGTCATTGATTTGTCTCCTTTGCTCCATTTCAGCTTTTCTGAGCAAATCTCCATGATATGCTACATTACTGATAATTTTTGTGTTTTGCTTTATTCTAAGAGTTTCAGGGTCATCTGCAACCTGTGTGAATTTGCCTTTGCTTTTCTCAAAATCAGCATGATATTTTACATTGGATTGAAGTTTAGTATTTTCAGCTATCCTTCTCAGTTCTGGTGTTTCTGCCATTGTAGTAGCTTTTGCCTTTGGAATATGTCTGGAATTGATAACCCAAATCAGAATATCCATGAGGTAAATAAGCAATACGTACATACTAGAAGAATCAAGACCTGTAATTGCACTTATCATGTGATGGGTTTTTCTCTGAATTTGTGTGTGTGTGTATTTTTGTAAAAAAAACATGAATTTTATAATGAAATTTCACCTTCTTTTTCTTCCTGTCTTGCATTAAGAACAATTTGCCTTTCTTTTTCATCATTGGACGATTTATATATCACAATTTACATCAATGACACATTTTTTTAGAAATGAAAGTCAACTAGGAATATGATTTTCTCGTGATTTATTAGTATCTAGTGAAAATATGGAAGAATATATCATCCTTATATCATTTGAAATAATGGCATGTGTAACATCATTCAAAAGCAATCTGTTGACATTTGATATTGATTTGGATTGATTATTGATTAAATGGTCATTATCTGGTATGATTGTTAACTACATACATATGAAAAGCTGGCCATTAAAACCATATTTCATGTTGAATTTTCTATTGAAAAATGTGACATTAAAGTACATCATAAGTATATTAAGTGTCCAATGACAAAATAAGAAGAGCAAGTAGCTGTTAATGCATCCAAGACAGGGGGGAAAAGAAGGTGAAATTTCAAACTTTGTCTTGAAATATCCTAATAGATAGTGGTTTTCATTATCCAATTCATGTTTTTCAGCCAAAAATACATAGGTAACAAAAACATTTTTTGCCAAAAAAAGCCATCACATGATAAGTGCAAAATTACCTCAAAATCATTTAGAGCCTATTGTAAAAAAGCAAGAATACTCACGCCTCACAATAAGGCTCCTTATTATATCCTTTGTAGTTTCGCATGTTTAAGGCCATGCCACAGTCCTTGCACTTGAAACATAGTTTGTGCCATACCTACAATAATTAAAGATATCATCATGAACTGGAAGAGATGACAATATGAAGGGAAGTGGTGGAGATAAATGATTTAATTTTTTATGACTCATTCATCAGTTCCTCAACAATAACCTTGATTTGTACAATGAACATATGGAATTGGTGTTTCTACTGCCCCATTTTCTAGAAAAAACTTGTGATATTGACATACAATAGATACTCATGAAAGTTATCTACTGATGTTCCTCCCAGAAAACGGACTATAGGAAAATTATTTGTAATAACAAAACCTTACCTTGTCCAAACACTTTAATTCCTCTGTGGGATACACGGTTTTTTGACACCTTCCACACTGTTTGCTCATTTTGTTAAATTACGATAAAATTTATCTATCGGTCACCTACAAATAATATTTGTTTTTCCATAAAATCTTTCACTCGAGTAAAAATTTAAAATTCGAACTATAACCCAGATCACAGCCAAGATAAAACCCAACCCATTTGCATTTTGCATTCAATTTAAATTGTGCTGGTGCTGAAGTCTGAAGTGAAGTGAGAGTGACACTGACTGTGACATGTGATGACAGTAGACAGTTAACCACCACAAAATAAGAATTATTAACTTTTCCACTCTTGGTACCGGTGCGAACTTATTCTGCACTCATCGTTTTCTGTCTCTGCTTATCATCTGCAATTAAACGTGGACAGATATACAATGAGTGCCTAATTTCAGGCATTGACAAATGACAACAATTTCTTTCAGTGTTCTCAGCGTTCTCACTTTTCGAGTCACGAGTGTCTGAGTTCTTCGAGTTCTGTGCTTATTGTGATGTATTGTGACATTTGTGACGTACCTGACGTCTGATCTGACGTGCTATGTGCTGTCTCGTTCCAAAAGTCTCGTTCTCGTTCCTAGTTTTGAATTTTCACAGAAAAAAACACCGGGAAAATTTTTCTCTGTATTATTCTGAAAATGAAATGATAAAATAATTATTTTTGATAAATGATTAACAAATCTACAATTATGGCTACACAAACTGACATACTAAAAGAACAAGTAGTAGGAGATACATCTTTACAGGCCACAATCATATCCTTTTATATATATTTCAATAAAGATGTTAAACTATATGTTAAGTGAAGTGAAGACATGTTTTGTACACTTTCCTTAACACTTTATTTACAGTTTACTCCTTAGTGAACAAGAACTTGAAAAAGTAGCAGAGAATGCGAAAGAAGGAATGAAATTTTTGACCACATTCAGTGTCTGTGAAGCAGACAGGGAACTGTTGCAATGGGTTATTCCAGCTATCAAAACAAGTTTACAAAAGGTAAGATGATATATAAAATACACTCTGCAGTTACATTTTCACCCTTGTTTTTACCTAATTTATCATCACCTGTACTTTCCCTAGTATGATTAGTGAAAATGTGATTACAAAAAAAAGTAATGTTGATGCCCTAGCTAATGAGATGAAGCTATACAAATACCTATACTACTAGTTACTTCTTGAATAGTTGAAAAATCAGAATTGTATGACTTATACCAGAGACTTATACCTACTATTAATACATTATTTGATTCATACAGATGAAAATTTAAGGTAGCTGATGGTTGGTTAAACTTTTTTTCTATGAAGAGATCATGATAGGAATTCCTACTGTTGAAGTAATACACATGTATTTTTAGATTTTTGATGATAATGCCTTACTGTCTGACACTGCAGAAGATGATTTTGTAATTGAAATTTTAAAGCAGAATTTATGTGTAAGTACATGTACCAATTCCTGTATAGTTACTTATATATGGATCACACAATACAAACTCATACATATCATTTGCAGATGGCTATAGATTTCCTTAAAATGTTGAAAATTGCTTTTGAGTATTTGCTCACAAGTGATGAAATTGATATAAATGATGTTCCTAGTATGACCACAATTCCTGCACAAGTGATATTATCAACTTTTGAACATTGTAGGAATAGGTAAGGTCATCCAGCTGTATTAAAAAGTGAACTTGACATAGAGTTTCATCGGGCTATATCCTTTATTTCAGTTCTGAAGCATATAAGAACAGTTTCAATGAGGAATTATTACAAATTTTCAACATTGCTCAACAAGTGAACACTTTGTTCATTAAATTGTTCAATTCTTGTATAATTTTAGAGAGCACCTCAGACAATGCTGATAGAATACATATTGTCAATAAAGGTGAGACTGTTACAGCAAGTTAATCATTAAAATCTTATATTTCTTGAACAGTTTTAGCTGCAATTTGTGATGTAAGCAAATCTTTATCTGATTTAAATTTTAAATATTTAATCATGAATTGGAAGGGCTATGCAAGCATTGCTCAAAAATTCTCAGGTATCTTGAAGGATCACATTGATCTAAGGAAACCCATGTTATGCCTCAACACAGATATATTGAAAAATCAGTCTTTTATTGCTGATAAATTGGTATGTTTCATTTTTATTTGTATATTTGGAGAATTTTATAAGTTCTTTTCCAGGATTTTAATGACACAAATATTGATTTAATTAGAAGAACTGGATTTTTGATAAAGGTTGCACTGAAAATTTTAGATATCTTCTGGAATTCAATAAGAAGAATCACAGAGGAAGTTCTTATTTTGTGTTGCATAATTTGCAGGTAGAACTCTGTTTTGTAAAATATAGTATATTTTGTCTGTAGATGGCACCACTATGCTCTCACTCTCACTCTGCCTCAACCACAGAGGTTTGTTAATCTGTGCCTCAACTATAACAAATAAAAAGTGATAATGTATACCTATTATCTTTGAATAAGCAAGCTTATTTTTTCAGCTTTCCCACTGACCATTATCACAGCCAAGTTTATCTTAAAGACATAACTACTTCAATAGATGATACTATTTATGCAACTTTTGCACCATTTGTTGATAAACTGGTGGAAGAAAATATAATTATGTCTATGGTAATCTCATAAATAGTTTCTTTCAGTTCTTACCTAATATGAATGTATTTCAGCTAAACATCATCCCAGATGATTTGCTTAGTAAACATCCATTTGGTCTTTTAAATTTTATGAATGCTTGTCTCAAATGCATAGCTACAAAACAAAGTTCCTTTGATGTAAATCTGGCAGATATTCTTAGGGCAGTTTTTGCATGTACCAAGCAATGTTAGTACTATGGGATTTATTTATCAGTCCAAATTATCATCATTCAATACTTATTTTTAGGTTTTAGTGAATTTGCCTTGCTGAAGAATATTTTTGCTAGTATCATAGTAAATTTTTCTGCATGTGTGATAGTGCACCAACATTATAATGAAGAAATTGAGATTATTTTATTGGAAAATTTACTGCAAGAAAATCTCTGGTGTGCATTATTGGCCATGGACATTTGGTGCCTTATTTTGAAGTAAACTGGTGAAACATATTTCATTTACACATTGTAGCAACATATCTTGATTCCGCTGAATAAAAAAACATACTCGATATGTTGCTATTGATGTCTAATGTCATTATAATTTTTTGAATGTCAGATAAAAGTCATTTTATAATTCTGACTTCGTCTCATGAATCATTCAAACTATCAGCATACAATTCAAATACAGTCCGCTCTATCGATTTTGCTTCATGGTCCTTCGAGCCGGATTGTTTGAAGATCTGAGAGGTGTTAGAAAATAGAAGTCGCAGATAGCGAAGTGAGGTCCTTCCATTCCCTATCCTATTCCCATTCCTTGCTTTCTATTTGCGTACAGTATTGATCTAGAAACTCATTATAAGGAGCGAAATGATTTTATTTCAATATCACATTTAATAGAATGATCAATGGCGGTTTCTTTTAAATTGAGACTCTTGCAGAGAGACGAAGTTATGAAATTGGATTGTGATCCGCAATCTAAAACTGATTTGATAGTGCACAAGTTTTCTTGAGCATTGGAAGCAATTACTGAAGCAGTAGATAATAGGACTGCTTCCTCTTTATTCTGACCAGTGAGAGAAGCAGTAGATAGTAAAACTGCTGAACTTCCACTTGGAGACGCAGACTCAACTTCCTGACTCTCTATATGTAACAATGAACTATGTTTCAAATTACAGCAAAATCGATAGAGTGGCTTTAGTTTTTTTGAATTGTACATAAACATTATCAATTATCTCTTCTATTTACAAATATCTCTGAATACTTATTTGAGACTAATACATAATATTGTTTGATTTAACGTTGACATGTTAATTAATACAAATCATCGATATCACATGAACTATGGTCAAGTGACGTAAAAAAATTAACTATTTAGAATAGCAATTTTCAGTCAGGATCACTTAACACATTAAAAAAAATCACTCTCAATTCCAGTAATGTCCTCCGTCGTCGTCGTGTCCCCCCATAATATTTGTTTTTTTAGGTATTCTACTGAACATTCATCTATGCGAGTTTTTGTGGATCTCTTACAGAAATATCATGATTTGAATTTTGGAGTTAATACCCATAGATTAGAAGACATTTATTTGAAATGTTTCATACAGAAGATTTTCAAAACATTTCCAAATTCTATGAAATGTCAGGTATCTCGAAGTTTCAGGGAAAATGACTGGAATGTCTTAGGGTTTGATGATATTTCTGTGGCACAGAAAAATTTGGTTGAACAAATTTGTTTGTGTACAATTGAAAAGGCACAACAATTAGGATCTGGCGAATTTTCCTTAACCAATTTTGTTCTCATTGTAAGCTGATTTAGAAAAACCGTGTTGTTTATTGTTGAATAATTTTTGGAATTCGTAGATGGAAAACTTGGAAATGTTATCAACATTGGATTTTCAAAATTATGACATGAATGTGAAAAAATTGTTAGAAATGGTTGGAATGCTCTGGGAATTTGATAACACTGACTTGAAGAATGGTGTATTCAAGTATTTTGCTAACAATCTTTGTAAAATAACAAGAACGCTTATCACAGACTTCAGCAATAAACAACTATTCATGGTGAGTAATAGATAAGGTTCCTGAATAATGAGGTTATATATTGTGTAGGACATTCCCATTTTCATATTTCTTATCATTCTCAAACTATTTTTAATGATTTCGATGTATTTTTGAAAGTGATTTACAGGCTTCAGTTTTTTTGAATATGTTAATGAAGAGAGGAAAGACTAAAACAAAAAATTCATCTTCAACTCTGCAATTTGGTATTATACAATAGCTCACATAAAATTGAAGACATGCAATAACTAATGACATTGTCCTGGATTTTCTAGACTTTTTTATTCCTTGCATAGGCGGCAATGACTTTTCTTTATACAGGGTGATTCAAGTTTTGAGGTACAAACTGAAATGGTTGATGAATCGCATCGTTTCAATCAAAAAAGTTTGTATAAATATGTGTCAGGTCTCGGTCAGTAGCGGTGCTACGGGATCAAAGTTTGATTGTTTTTTTCTATTAATTGAAATATCTCCCTCACTCCTGAAGATATCACTTTGAAATTTGGTGTGGTCAATACATTCTAGAATATCATCATTTGAAGCATTTCAACGATTTTCAAAATCTACAGGGTGATACGTTTTTGGGGGTAGAGGCTTCTTCATTTCCCCCAAACTGTTTCCTAGTACGCCTCTGACATATTCCAGTTAGCAAATATGGTGGATCGTTCGATTTGAAGATTTTTTTGCATCTCATTTCTTTTTCGAGAAACGAACCGTTTTCGAGATGAATAAGCTTATCCGATCAAAAACATGTTAATTTTGTCTATGATGATACCAAATGTACTGCATATGTCTAATCTGAATCAGTGGCGGGGATACGAAGGGTAGAAGGTAAAGGTTGCTTTCATCCAATGTCTTTTTCATCATTTGAAAAAATTTGAAAATAAAATAGCATTCAACTTGTCGGGAAGAATCTTCTTGCGGAATGTGATTATTTCTTTTGCGTATTCCATTATTGTTAAATAATGTTGTCCAAGAATAAAATTTCAGAGATAAATATAGATGAAATCAGCATGTTCTAGAACGGATATGCTTATTTATCTCGAAGACCATTCGTTTCTCAGAAAATATTAAGAAGCGAAAAAAGCCTCTAAATTGAAGGATCCGCCATATTTCGGAAAAATTTGAGAAAGATAAAGAAGCCTGTATATACCTCCAAAAACGTATAACCTTGTAGATTTAAAAAATCTTCAAATTTCTCAAAATGATGATTTTCTATAAAGTATTAACCACGCCAAATTTCAAATTGATATCTCCAATAGTGAATCTTGAACCATGTAAGAACAATGGTATAGGTTTTTATTTGAAATAAGTTGCAAAAATGTTCTTGCACTGTATGGAATAAACTACATACAGGTCGTGAATCACCCTGTATGTAGTTTCTATCCAGCCCAGGGTATTTCCTTTCACCGAAAACTTGACCCTCCTTATGATTAGACAACCAAATCCTCTACCAGAAATCGCCAGGACCCGTCGACTTTTATACTTGGGGGAGAATTTTTTACAGTTGAACCAACTTGATGTGTTCATCCCCTTCACCTCTAGTAACTCCAACTTTGAAATTTCAAATGAAACTACCCTACTTCCATTACATAATTTTAAAGTCCTCTCCATTGTGAATACTATCTGGTGCATCGTTTTTGGAAATCGGTTGAAATTTGACAGAGTTATTGTATGAAATCCATACTTGACAATAATTTATTGACAAACCTCGTTCTAACCAAAACTGCCCATCAATGGGCGTGTACACCTTAGCAGAACTTTTAACTCAAACCATGTTTATAATGTTCCTTTAATACATAAATAATGATTGACGACATAATTCTATCGAAAAATTAACTGGAATGTTTTATTTTGGACATAAATAATAGTACCTTCTGAAAACGGACCCTCTTATGACGTAGAAACCTCATCTCGCCATAGTTGAAAAAAAATACCAAACGCCCGACGGAGACTGAGGCAACTGATGTATTAGAGAGTTGAAGTGTTGTCATGAACGTTAACGTAAACGTAGAAATTGACAGCTACGCAATTCTTCACGTTTTGCGTTGTTAGTGGGCTTACGGGTGTACGTTATCTCACGTTCCTTCACGTATACCTTAAATATCAACGTACGTTAACCAAACTATACTCGAAATATGCCGATGAGTCAAAATTATCAAATTCAAGATCACCAACGAGTTCTGCATCAAGGAGTCCTCTAATTTTGACAGGAATAAATGTTCGAATCTAAACACACAACCAAAAATGACCAATACAAACCGAAAACAAAATGTATTATTACGTTATGATGACAGTGACGACCAAAGTGGCGACTTCAACTCAATTTAACGACAATACGTAAACGTTATTTTTCGTACGTTAACGTCGACGTGGAGGTCTACGTACAGTGATTACTTCAACTCTCTATTAATTCTTTCAACTGTGATCTCGCGCTAATTAACTCTGTCAGAAATCATGTATCATTCATCTCTGTCTGGAAAACTCTTGTTTCAGTATTAGGGTTTTGACGTCACATCATCGCCTCGTTTTCAGAGGTCCGAAAAATCAGGTATTTCAATAATTTTATATAAACCGTAGGGAGCTCACAGCAAGAAACGGTTTGCGGTGGTGAGCTAGTTTGGGTGAGATCTATCGAATTATGAAATAAAAATTGTTTGTGATATAAGCCCAACTACATATCCACATGCCTCTTTTTTGTTGTGTTGATCAATTAACCAGAAATTATATGTTTCACACGGCAGTAAATGTAGATTGATTGCCTTGGCTAAATTCCTATAGCCTCGCTTCGCTCGGCTATGAACTATCATAACTCTTGATTAGTGCGCAATTTCGATTGCAAAAATCATAACACGAATGTCAGTTACTTGACAATCATTGTCAAGTATTGATTTTGTTCAGTAACTCTGTAAAATCTCAACCGATTTTCGAAAACAATGCACCAAATAATTCGCAATAGAAAGGGCTTTGAATTGATGTGTCGAAAATAGGCTAGTTGCATTTGCAATTTCATAGTTGGGGTTGCTAGGGTTTAGGGGGATAAACACATCAACTTCATTTTACTGTCAAAAATGCAAGTATAAAAATCGATGGGTCTGGTGATTTCTGGTATAGAGGATTCAGTCTTCTAGTTATAGGCGGAGGAGGGTCAAGTTTTCATTGGAAGACCCTGTATATTATTCGCTGTTAGGATTTATATCTTAGGGATTTATTGCCTTTGAATGAAATCACTTATTGTAAATTAAAAGATTTGAATAATATTGAAATCGTTCGATTCATCAGTTCATTAGTGAGTGTTTTGAACGCTTTCTCAACATCTTTGAAAACAATCGAAGATGACTTCTATGTGAAAGAAAATAGGTAAGAACAATCCGAACCCTGTATTTTTCAAATACGTCACTTTTTCAGATCCTGGACCGTCTAAAAATATTATCCTGCGAAGATTCACATAAACTACATGTTTTCGATATACTGTCAGAGCTTTGCAATAAAAATGCCAACGAATTCGGGCAAGATGGACTCAAAATTTTCGCTGTCATTTCAAATATTTTGCATCCTAGTTTGACGTCAGACTCGAACAATCTGATGAAACAAAGTGTCCTGGAGATTGTGGAGAAATGTTCGAAAAATGGTAAAGATGATATCGTCAGAGACTTGGCTAAAACTTCTGTGAAATCTCGAGAAGATATTAGTAATTATTTACAGAAACATATCACCGATAGTACTTTAGATATAGCATATTTTACCATTTTGGGGAATCTGGAGTATACTCATAAATGCGTGCATTGGAAAATGATAACTGATAAACCTGCCCCAAAGAAAATCAAATTGGATAAAAATTCACAAGACAAAGAATTTCGGAAATTTCAAGAGAACAAAATGCTTGTTGGGAAACCGATTTCGAAGGTTGTTCAAGATTTCGAGGCTGCTAAAACTGTGGATAATGTACATGAAACAATAATCAATATAAAGAGTGAAGTTAAGTGTCTGATGAATGTACTGAAAACAGAGAAAATGACTGCAAAAAACGTTTCGGACCTTAAAATTGTTGCCAATCAAATATTGTCGCTCATCTAGTTAGCAGTTACCTGCCTGATAATTCATGAAAATTTTGTATTTCGAAAGTAATAAAGGTTATGTAATTAACTCACTCTGTTTGTGACTTCCAATGCTTCCAATTTGTGTCTTTTTATGGTTCGATAGTCTGCACTTGGTATAGAGTTCTTGTGATCATTATGATTAAAACAATAAATATATTAAAAATTAATTAAGTTCGATGAATTTCAAAAAACATCGAAATTATCTTGGTGTGAATATGTAGGTGAATGTAAACAGCTAATCAGCTAAACAGTTAATAATGATTATTTCTTTTCCAATGCAAGTTAGATAGTTATAATCGTAAAACGTCTCAAGGCCTCTCAACTACGTCTAACATTTGAAAATATGTTTCTATTTGAATCACGACTAAGAAGTTATTTTTATGGGAAAATTTGATAAGAGAATTCCATAATCTTTCTTTGAATTTGGAATGAATTTGATAATTGAAAAATTCAGTTCCTAACAGTTTGTATAGAAATCAATAATGAAATGATTTAACTAATATTGTATTTGAATGCATTTTCTTCATTCTGGTATAAATAAAGTTACCTAAATTGGAATGCATATTTCTGGACGATGAATTCTTGCGAAAGGTTGGGAAAAAAATCGTGATGTCCTGATATAGTCACAAGAAAAAAAAATCCGTAATCGTAAAATCAAAATACTTTATTTTTACATTTAGCATAGTGTACATTTTTGGCAACATTCAAAAATTTTACAACCAATCCGTGAATCTGATCAACAAAAGTAGTAGAAAGTATCTAGGTATATGCACGGGATGATAAAAATAGGAAAGTACATTCACAGTATGGCATTTTTTCATTTTATCACACTGTATAAGTATATCAATAATAATTTAAGTAGGTACCTAATTAGTTTTCTAACAATAATCAAAACTTATCTATTCACAAATACGATTATGAAGGTATGGCTATACTAACTTATAATATTATACCTAACTAATTACATTATCGAAAATAATTTGGATATTGTTAGGGCTATGGAGTTTTACTCAAAATTATAAATGAAATTGAAATTTCTTCGCTTTTTTATTGTTGCTGTGAATTGAAAATTAATTAGGTCCAAAGTTGGATTTCAGAGGAAAGAAACTTTGAAGCAGAGGGAAAAATCTTAATACAAATAATACAATAGACAAGGCCCTACTATACTTTTGGAAAAGCACCCAAACAACAAAATTAAAAACCTCCAAAACAGTTTTTCTGCCAATTCACCTAACACCAAATGTGGTAACTCTGAAAATTTCCGGAATAAGACTTGATATGGTTTAAGTATCACGCTCAACACTCACAAAACAGCCCTTCCCAAAGAAAGGGCCAAGAGATGTAGCTATTCTATTCGGGCACTCCTGGCATCCTTACAGCTTCAACAGCATCGTCACCCCCAGTAAAAACAAGCCCGTATTAGCACAAACCGCACTGCTGCCCCCCTTGGGCTTATCGGTGGTATTCGCGCTAGCAGCTTGGGCGCTGGGCGGCTCAAGAGGCACTCGCCCCTGGATCTCTCCGTCCTTGTCTACTTTCTTCTCGGTCGGAGCTGGCTCTGGTGTTGCCTCCGGGACCTTAACGGTGCTCTCTGTCTGGGGCCCTTGTTGCTCCCCTGTGGATGGATTCGCCGCGTTTTGGGGCTTACCCTCGTTCGCTGTTGGTTGCGGTGAGTTTTCAGCTGGAGGCGTTGCGATGGTGGTATCTTGGGCAATGACGCCGCACAGAACACTGCAGAGAATCAGGAACACTAAGTTGGCCATGCTGGTGGCGCGTCTCGACTGTTTCGACGATCAAATGAGGACGGTAGGACGCAACCGGTCTGGCTCGGCTTGAATGGGTGAATGGGAACACCTGGCTTGGCCTGGCCTTCTCTCTTTCTCTCTCTCTCTGTTCACGACGGTTTCGAATTTGAAACGGTTTGAAATGGTTTGAATGATCGGTTCGGTCGGGGCCCGGCCACTTCGCGAAACAAACGAGCGCTAGCGGAGGTCACGTGGTGGGGTGCTAAGGTTTTAGTAGTTGATGGTAGCGGGTAGCTACTAGAATCTAGGCAGAGCACCATGTGAGGAGTCGAATTTACCCGAAGATCTGCATCCCAGACAGCACAAGTACACCTTATGGATGTACTATGGATATCCATCATGGATATTGTGGATGTCCATAAGATATCTGGAAAAGGCTCTGGACGTCCATGGATATCTATATCAACTGAAAAACAAGCAATGCTATTGTCTCCGTTCAGAAGAATGCAAGCAGATTCCTTGATTTTTCTCTTCTGGTTGTTATCTTCTTTTCCAATGATTTTAATATCATTTCACTCTGCCATATGTTGTCCGTCTTCAGTAAGGATATGTTCAGCTAGTTTCTGCTTGCATTCTTCTGAACGGAGACAATAGCATTGCTTCTTGTTCAGTTGATAATGTTGATATATATAGACAGAACATGGTATTCACTACTAAAATCTGAACATGAAAATGGTAAATTCGAGATTAATTAATGAAAACATCCTGTAACTCATTTGATTGCCAACGTCACCAATTGTCATTGAAAACTGAAAAGCTTCAAGACATAATTATACGACTTCGCTATTTGCGAAAATCACGAACCAATAGATGGCTCTATTTAACGTCAAATCAACGTCAAATTTCAAACTGAGTATAGGTCGCGTGCAAGAACTGTCAGATGACCGACCCTGGAGGCAAAACATATTTGTTTACAAGTGATCGAAATAGTTTTCCACAATTATTTTGGCATAAGAATCGTATTTTTCCGCTATTCATCAATTCGCTAATGCCATCACATTGTGCTGTTGTAAAATGCACAAAAACTGCAGCAAAATATGAAGAAATCCGGATGGTACATTATGATTCAAAAGTAAGTACCTACTATAGTCACTCACATAGTTTTCATTTTTGAAATTTGCTTATTTCTCTGATTTCTCATCGGAATTCCTTCTGCAATAGGATCAGCTAATAGAAATATACCTGAAATTTCTAGAATAATGCAAGAAGATTGAATTCATGCAATCAATCGGTATAGGACTGGTCTGACATGCTGACGATCGTGTGTGTTGTAGACATTTAATCTATTAGCAGCATTAGCTTGAATTGCAGAAGTGGCAGAAGGCAGAAGGAATTTTAATAAGGAATGACAACATTTCATAATGATAACTATGTGAGATTACTATTTACCTGAAAAATCATATTCCCTAGTCTCTTGCTGCATTTTTTGTGCATTGTACAACAGCACAATGCGAAGGCATGCTTGAATTAATGAATAACGCAAGAAACACGATTCGTATGCCAAAATATTGTGAAAAACTATTTCAACCTTTTGATTCCTCTGTAACCAAATGAAAAAGTGAGGTTGTGTTTCAATAATTCACAGAAGAATGAGGTTGTGTTTCAATAATTCACAGAAGAATGAGGTTGTGTTTCGATATTTTGCCTCCAGGGTCGGTCTTCGTGCACGCGACCTATGAACAACAAAAACATTGCCGTATGCACTCATTGCAAATTGGTTATTTCGAAATCATTTTGCAAAATAGTGAATAATGAGTTGACTTCGTGAAATACGTACAAGGTTTCCAGTATGGAAAAAATTACTTTTTGTGCAGAGAAATTGCCATTTTGATGTGGACAATGGTGGTATGCATCATTGATATCACACTACAATTCCACAGTTTTCAAACATATGGAATGGTCGGAATGGTCCACTCAACACTTGCATGGACTGGAATGGAGCCATATAAGCAATCAGCTATTACAACAATATGGTATAGATATGAAGAAATAATTGAATTCATCAAGAAATATCACTGGCTTTTATGAAGGAGATGGAATTCTAGTGAAGGGGCTGGGAAAAGAAGATATGGTTGGAAAGGCTGCTCAGAATGAACAATATCATCGATTTACATAAACAAGGATCTCCAGCAATTGAAGACTTGGAGTAATTCTCAAGATCGAATCATTGCAACCAACATTTATACAAGGATTCTAACTGTGCTTCAGAAAATGTATATTATATTATTATAAGGCTTCTTCATTGTAAACAATAAAAGTTCATGCAATAATTCGAGTTTTTTCATCAGGGAAAAATGAGGTTCTGGAATATGCACTTAAAATAAAACAAATAAATTATTTTCAAATAAAACACAGAAACTCAAAACAATGGTCGCCATATTTGTTGTTCATACTCGCGAGACTTGTAAAGTTAGTCACCAGAGGCCACACACTTCGTGTTTTTTGCGAATTGAAATAATCTCTTTTCATGTTGAAAACGGGAGCAGAATCGGTCCCGAAACATCCAAAGATAAGTGAAAATTTGATATTTTTTCTATATACCTTTATTTCTCTTCTCCAAACTTTTTTCAATACAAATTGTCACTGACAAGCTAGTGAATTTTTCTTTTAGGCTCTCTGATAGGAAAATTCTTTGAACGCAGTGACATTTTGGGGCGAATCATCTGATTTGTCCTTACTACACGTATATTGAAATAATATTCATATTTTTATTTTATAGAAACGAGGAGAAAATCCCAAAAAAATTTGGAATAATGAATGTACCACCTCCTCGATTAACCTACAGACAGTCTTCCCTCTTCGATGCAAGTGGATAATTATAATCGTGTCCAACTGGTGTCGAATAAAGTTTACTTTTCATATGGTGCTCGTCCTAGAATCTGGTGGTTATTCATATCGTGGTTTCATGAGTCAGTGCGATTTCTCAACGGAAAATTGTTATCGTGAAACCGGTGCGATTATGAGAAATTCCTAGAAGGACGAGGCGCCGCATGGTGGACTTCCCTACTGTTAACCATTAACGTATATTTTTTCTGTCGTTATCCTTTGAAATTCTGGCCATTGGCATGGTATTGACTAGCACTATTGACTTTGGCTCTGCAGATACGCACTAAAACTACTAAAAGGCATAGATAAGGGGATCATTTCATAGAAGGGGACGTTTTAGCAACTGTAAATCCTATCTAAAAAAGCAAAAAGCGTCCATGAATATAAACGGTGTTTCAAGATTGCATTCAATACGAGAGATGCGGTTCTTGGTTTCTAAAAT